GTGTGTGTGTGTGTGTGTGCGTGTGTGTGTGTGTGTGTGAGAGAGAGAGAGAGAGCCTTAGATGACGACGTCGTTGTCTTCCTCCTCCTCCCCACTGTTGTCTTCCTCCTCCTCCCTACTGCTGTCTTCCTCCGCCTCCTCCACGTTGTCTCCTCCTCCCGCACAACCTTCCTATCGTCCTCCTCCTTTCCCGCTGCCACACCAACTTCTTTGTTTTTCCACTTTGAGGAAGATGATAACGGGGAGGAGGTGGAGGAAGACGATGATGATGGGGAGGAGGAGGAGGAGGAGGAAGAGGATGATGGGGAGGAGGAGGGAGAAGACGGCGTGAAGATGGGGAGGAGGAGGAAGATGGAGTGACAATGGGGATAAGGACATTTGGGAGGAGGAGGAGTAAGACAGCGTGACGACAGGAAAAACGTCGGAGTTTGACGAAGTTCGAACTTTCCTCCTCCTCACGCTCGTCTTCATCGTCCATCTACTCTACTTTCCCATCCTCCTTCTCCTCCTCATCCTCCCCGTTGTCGTCTTCCACCTCCATATCCTCCACCACCTTTCCCTCCTCCATCTTGACTACCTCCCTGTTTTCTTCCGACGTGGTATAATAGTAATAACAATATTATTAATATTAGTTAATGTATTATACGTACTAGCTTAGCGCCCGCGGTGCGGGCGGTGCGGGCAATGCCCGCACGTAAAAGAGCAGAGAGGCTAGTCAATCATGAACATTATCTCAAGATCTTGACTCACCACCCACCAAACCCGCACCGAGCCGCTAAGAAGTGCGCATGAATGTTTTGGATTTTATATATACTAAGGAATATATGAATGTTTTGGATTTTATATATGCTAAGGAATATGTGAATGTTTTGGATTTTATATATACTAAGGAATATATGTATTTTTTTTTTTTAATTCAAGTGCATACCTAGCTCCCGAAGTCCCCGTACAATCGGGCTTGCATGGCATCTGCTTCAACCAGGGCTGAGCAGGGGGTAAGGGACTCTGCTAGCCCGGGTGCCTGCAACCGCTGTCCGGTCAGGTCACCCCGCCAGGGTGGTGATGGGTGATGGTCCTGGGTGGTTACCACTAGGGTGGGACAGGGGGTGTGGGGGTGCGCCAGGGCAAAACGATGAGAGGAAGGGTGGGTGGGGTCATCAGAGGGGTTCATCTGGACAACCGAATGGCTGATTACTCTGGGTGACTGTCATATGTCACGTATCCCATCTCTACAGCAACCTGGTTTTTTTTTAAAACAAAAAAAGAAAAAAGGAAAAAAAGACTGGGGATCCATAAGGTGAGGTATTTGGCTTGTTCTTGCCCTTGCCAGTCAGCCTTTTGAGTTGCTTCGCTGGCTCACTAGATTCAACAGGGGACATCCTATAGAACCTGGCTTTCGGGGTCTTACTCCTTGGACTTGCATGAACCATCTCCCTGAATAAAATTCCCGTAGGCTCTTCTTGCAAGTCTGAATGCTTAACGAGGACTCTGGCTATCTCTGAAGGGGTCTCTTTGAGCGGCCCCTTTTGAGATATAAAACTAGGAACATACGTTGTTTCAAATTTTTGGCTTATAGTGATTGTAAAATGCTGTAGTGCATAAGCATCCATAGGACTTCTCCCTTCCTCGAGACAAATATTTTTTTACTCTCACCCGCCTACCATCTGCAATCTGATAGAGTTGGATCTCGAGATCCCACTGAATCTCAACCTTCCCATAATACATTCCCAAGATCATGTTGAATGAGAGTTCGTCCCTTGCGGGAAAAAACTTCAAGGTACACATAACCTCCTTGATGCAGTCTTCTGCCTTTACGCTCCTCTTGTTA